TTCAAACCTTAACTGGCTATTATACCATAATTCAGGCATACCAGAATTCAGGCAATGATGTTGTTACTGCCGTGCCTATCAATGATGAAGGATTTTCGTAAAATAAGACCTTTTTCGCCGAGTGCTTACTGATTTCGGCGAAATTTTATATTTAAAAAAAAACTACTGCACCCATTGAGTCTACTTGTGCTGACTGTTTCACAATTTCACTTAGAGCTGCACAGTCTAATCGTAAGCTCACGACACGAGCTGATTTGCAGTCTTCACCTGTTAGTTGTTTTTACGCAACTGGAGCCGAATAAAACTTCTGTTATCGTTTCCAAGAACATTACCCACTTGCACTCACATCTGGACGAGTGCTGTGAGGGTACTTAAATTAAAAATCATCTCTTTCACGATTAAAATTTCTTTATTATAAATTTAAAGCTTTGAACTGATGCTGATAATGGAGAAATGAACTGTAAGATGAATTTACAAAGACGATTCTATTGAACACAAAAAGTTAATATTCTCAACGAAAGAATCATTTGAAAAAGAACCGTTTTCAAAAATAAGTCGGAGAAAAGGAATTAAGAGATCATAATCACAGCGATACAGATATACGAAAGGAAATGCACCTGTTATGGATAGAGATATCAAATAGAAATAAATATTCAAAATTAGAATAAATATTCGATAACAAATATTATTAAATGCTTAACGAATTAATAAATGCTTAACATCAAATGTCACAATCAATGAATCACTATTGAATAATAATGAATACTGATGTTAAAGAATTATCAATTAATAATTCAATGTTAATAGATAATTAAATACAAGCCAAATGGTAGCCTTGCTCAGGCTCGGTAATATCAACGACATCGGTACACCACTCGCTCTCGGGCAAAACCTTCCTCTGCCAACGAACACGAACCGACAATGTACAAATTACCAGTTGGGTGCTCTACCTTTGACCAATTGCTGAGACCGTTNCGAAACCGAATGGTGTGTCCATGTCATTAATAATTTATTTAAAACACAAATATGATAACTCTTTTTGACTATCATTGAAAACACCGATCACTATTATTTATTTAAAATTACTTAAAAAGTTGACTGTTCCAAAGAATTAGAAACTATCAGCAATTTATCATCGAACTAAACAATTCACAATCAGATATGTAAGCCATTCCCGTCAGTTTCTTGTAATTGCAATGAATGCATTTGGTGATATCGAAGGATTGAACAGATGTGAGGATTGTTTGACAATAACAGTAATGGATTAAATGTCATATTGTAGCCAGCAACACTACAAACAAATATATATCCAAGTGTAAATAAAGTGAATCATAATTATCATCAGTGGCGTATTCATGGAGTTAGGACGGGACTTGGGACCCCGGTAGCTTGTAAAACTGAAACGGTAAAATGGAGTAATCGGCACGAAAATGCAACTTTACATCGTTTTAAGATGTTTTCAGAAAGGAAATTCGGTAGGTGGTCGTCGTTCAGATCACCTGCAATGGCCGCGATTTTCCCATTAGGTAGTAAGCCCTCCCCGCTCTAATTAAAAATCCTGAAAACACCACTGGTTTACATCAAAGGGAAAAGAATTCAAAAGCAAGAGAGATTTTCAACTGGGTTTTCGTCGACTTTGAAACTTCATCAGTGGGGTAGGAGATATTGACAAGGAAGTGATTTCGAGATGAGTGAGATTTGAGATAAGGAATTTTGAGAAGAAATGGTAAAAAAATTGATTATTTAGACGAAGTCTGCAGTTCGAGAATGAGGGCTTGTAGTCGTTCGAGAAGCGTTCGAGCCGAGTCCAGAAGCGTATCAACATCGTGACGTTCGGCCATTTCTAAAGTCATATCCAAATATTCATTAATAATTTACAATTNCCGTTCAAATATTCATGTTCATGCTCAAAAATCTGGCTGTTTATGCTCAAGCTGATCTTCAACACACTATGAATAATTTTTGGTCAACAAAATATATTTTTGTGAAAAAGAATTTGAACGTCAGTCAAATATTTTCCACTTATTTGAGAAAATGACCACTAGCTAAGCGATGTATCATTCGATTTTTAATGGCATTTCACAAGGAGATGAAGCAAGAGATACCATTGAAGAATTTGATAACATCCGTGAAATCCATTCGATTGTCGATGATAATGTGTCGATATGTTGTCAACAGTGCAAGAGCAAAAAACAACTGGAAATGTTGTGTGATCATTCGAGACGATGACCATATCACTTCCCATACTCGAAACACTTGCTGATAGGTCAATTCTGCAATTGCTTTATCAGTATACACTCGACAATGTTGTTTCAGCAATGTGATTAGGCGAGTTGTTGATTGACTTTGAGCGATGCACAATGCAACCTTGCATTTCACCGTTTTTTTTTGTGCTTTCATTGGTACAGGATTGTTAAGAGCGACATTTTATGATGATTGGATGATGGATAATTTTCTCGGGCATCAACCAAAAATTCACACTTAAAAATTTATTTGCAATAAATGAAGCACTTCTCAAACATCAAATAAGACCTCGTTTGAAGTCGAGTAAAAACCATCGATAGCAAAAATACAAATGCGTGAAATCACCATTCGTCATCATCAAATCAAACAGCTCTGGATCCATAACCTGAATTTCACACTATATTGATGGAAAAATCGTATGGCGTAATAATGGTCATATCATTTATTGTGAAAATAATTTCGTAGAAGAGAGAAAGCGTCTGGTGTATTTTATCATCTCGAATGTCATTAGGCATTCATCAGAAGTTGATAGTAACTTGCACTCGGTTTTGGATTTGTTTCATTCTCAACAAATTCATAAAGGTTATGCGTTTCTGTTACAACTCATTCATTACGGATTGATGAAAGGAAGAATTTGTACAAATTCCATTTCACTCAGCATAAATCTTTACCAGTGATGAAGATACGTCCAAATTAACAAAGATCGCATGAAATTATGACTATAAACCTGAATAAGTGAACGCATATTCGCTAAGTTGTCATCCATTCCAGATCCAAGTGGGAAATTCGCCCTCATCCGGATCATCAGTCGATCAAAGCACTCCAAAACGAGTGGCTCTACAGAGTTTCTGATTGTATGAACGAAAAACAATTGTGATACTTTGAAATCTAAAGAGCAGAACGC